CGGACCACGGCCACACCATGGCCGAAACCAATGTTGTGCACACTTTTTAAAGCCAAACGAGAACTCCTAAAGACCAAGGTTAGGGTTTGACTCCATATCCTAACCTAAAGTTGATTATACCATCTACCCAGCGAAACCATCGCAAAGACCCGAGAGGGAGATAGGAGGATGCCAAGATGGGTTCGTCAAAGCTGGGCGCTGGTTCGCGAACCGAGCAGCAATTCACGGTCCGCAGCATTCTAACGAAGTTAGGTAATTTCTATGAGAGTACCATGACACCTATCGCCACCTCGACCTACACCGTTCTCAAGTGCTCATTTTGACGCAGCTGACGGTGCAAAAACAAGAAGTTAGTGTTTTGGAAATTTTGTGTATATTTAAATGCCGAAGTAGCATTGTCTATCATCTTTTCAGACTTAAAATGAATTCAAGGTTCCAGTTAGAACTAGCACTCCCTAGCACTTTTGGTTGAATCTTTAAACGGTCTAAGCCTCGTCAACCTCAACTAAACAACATGTCATGACCTCGCGCATACTTCGTGCTAACTCATAGAAATACACATCTAGGAATTATTTAACCCATTTGTTCAGTACAATTCACCAAAGATCGATGCTTTTAACATGAACTCAAGTTCCTACCAATTCCCAATGTGCTCTTGTTCTAAATTTCGGGTTTGATTCCCAAGCTATCAGATTTACTATTAAACAACTTCTACTCACTAAAGCAAAAGTTGCATTCTCATCTACTAACTTGCACTTCAAATTTTTATTTAAGTACTAAATACAAGTTATATTTTATATTGTTTACAAAAATTGTTTTCCGTGCCAACGATTAAATCTACCCGTCTATTTCCTTGTTAGGATTTTTATTAGCACCTTTATGCGAGTTTTAACTCTAACACCCGAGAAACTTGCCTTGATAATTTCTCTTAGGCCTTAATCTAGGTGCTAAGTGAGCTCGTAACACCAGAGGTGTTACACGGACTGGGCCGACGATAGGGCGTCGGACTACATTATAACACCGGGTGACTACAATGGCTCCTTCTGACACAGTACGGGTACTGCTTCTTCTGTGAGAGTCGGACCCTGGGTTGATGGTCCGATGCCTCGCAGAGGCCGGTCCGACGGTCGACAGAAAGTGGGGTTTTGACCCCCAACGGCTATGTATTTGAGTGGGGGTATTTATACTTCTCCTACTCGTCCAATTCCCCTCTCTTGCCTATTTGTTCAGCTGAAGAAAAACTTTGGAGTGCAAGGGAGAGCAAGATCCTAGTGGGATGATTGAGATTTGATAATCAAAGATTAAGGACCTTATTAGTGCATAGGGAGTAGCAAGTGTGCATCCACCTTTCTCATTAGACTTACAACTTTTATCGTACTGTGCTCTCCAAAGAGCAACTCTTCTCAAAATCCCAAAACAAAAGGTGCTGCGTTGGAATCCCATTCTAAGGATTCTTGTAGTTCCAGGATGATCCAGTCACCCCGAGAAGATTTATTTTCTTTGCTGATTCCTCTCAATGAAATTTGCCATGTCTTAGTCAAGTGAGAGTTTATGCTTGTTACTCTTGGTGATCGCCATCACCCAAACAGCTCGTCAAACCTAGACGTGAAGCTGTAATTGAATTCCATTAAATGAGTGGTTGTGTCCTTGTTGAGTAAGGACGAAAAGTAAAAGCTAGCAGGCCGGCCCAAGCTCCCGTTGTTGTATTTTCATGAGGTAATATTTACCTGTGTGATTTCTCATATTTTTATTTTAAAAAAACTCATATATATTCCAAACAAAATCTAAATTATTAATAAATTAATAAAACCCGAAAGGTACACCGGAATGCACCGGTATCGAAACGTACCATTCCAAAGGCAAAACCGGAATAGCCTCTGGAATGGAATTGATAAGTATGGGCGGGCGGCTTCGAATCCAGGCGGACAGGGCGTGCTGCGGGGGTGAGGCAAGTCGTCTGGATGTGTGGGCGCTATGACAGTGCGGGTGCGCGTGTGGGGCGGGAATAAAAATCAGCATCAGCGCATAGGGGCAGGCTGCGCGGCGTCCTGTCCGGATGTCCGGGCGCTAGCATAGTCCATTAGGGGTGGTTTGGGGGACTTCAGATATTAGTACATACCTAGTTCATACGAAGCTATGTTCACCTCGTTGGAGTCTCACTCCGAGTTGTTCGCCCGCCGCGGCGCCGCCGTTGAGTTAGGTGAGCGCGTCGCAGTTGCTGCGTTGTGTTTAGGATTTGTGATTTGGTTTCGAGATGAGAAGTCGCAGAGTCGACAAACAAATCGTGAACGCCAATCTGCTAGGCTGTTGACGGGCCTTAACGAGCCAACCAAGCCATATATTGATACAACTACGTACTGAGTGTATGCTTGGGGTGGGGCCCATGGGATTGGGGGTAGGGCGGCCGCCCCGCTTGCCCGCTCTTAGGGCCGGCCGTGGTCTCCATGTGGCGAGATCGCCAATCGCATCATTCTAGAGCTCGGCATTCCCGTCGCTAACGAGTTGCCGGCCTTATACTCCTGGCTCCAACTCGTTTTGAGTCGTGATTGGTTGGTTAACTATTCTGACTTTGACATCAAGTATGCTCCACTACAGTCTCCAGCTCTTATGATCTTAGTGATCTCACCATATGAAGGTTCGTTATATATCTATACCTGAATTTTCAAGATACTCACATAGTATAATTTTGTGATACAATACTATAATTGATATGAATAATTTTTTAAATGATTTAATTGTGATAAAATATTATTCAAAGTTAAGTGGCATTGAAATAATGTCAAATGAAACTCAATTAAATTAATAAAACCAATACAATTTTGCTATATTGGGCTCCAACGAAAATCTTCTTTTTCCACATATGATTTTTTTTGTTTTTGTTTCTATTTTCCTTTCCTTTTGTTCTTCCAAAATAGGATGCACAAAGCATCATTAAGAGGTTAACATTAAGATTTAAGTAAAAATCTTCTCAACCACCATGATTTTAGTTATTTCCAACTAATGATGGATTTACAATCGACTTGTACTAAAGTTATTATTAGTGTACAACACCGAACAGGAGAGAGGAGTATAGAGTGAGAGGAAGAAAGCAAGTGAGTAAAGGGCAATCGTCCCTCTCCACCTTCCCCTCTTTTTATAGGGGAGTTTCATTATTTCTATTGGTGGGGCATGTATTTACAAAAATGACTTTAGGGGATACAAATGGGCCCTAAACACTACCTCACAAAAGCCCCTTGGCTATTTAATTGGGTGTGAACAAGTAATGGGGCCCCTAATGTATAATGCACCCCAACAGTATGGTGATTAATTTGTTGTGATTGATATAAAGAATCAGCGTATAGCAAATTAAAAATCCAAGTGTGGTGAAGGAATATTTCACATGGATCTTACAACACCTTTAATCTGTTGTGGAACTTCTCTTAAACACCCAAAATTTTCTTATAGCAAGCTCACAAATTCAGATGTAGAAGGGGCCCTTTTCAACAAGGTACAATATTATAAGCTTCAATGTTTACAACATAATACAAATCTTATACAACAAATATACATTTTGTAAAATCTGATAGGATCCTAACACTACGATCCAATGTTGTCAAGCAAAAAACAATCATACCTAGAATCTCGATCAAAATAACCTTGCCCTTACATGACACGAGGTTAGGAATTACTCTAAAACTCCTATGAGTTGACTGGTTGAGAAAGGCTCTAGTGGGAAGAGTTTCAACACTAATAAATCTATATTTTTTAATTTATAACAAAATTTCTATAAAAAAATTTAGAGTTAGGTATTTCTAACTCTTGAAATCTAGAATTTCAGTTGAGCTGACAAAGATATACTATGATGGTTTTGATTTTAGCATACAAACTCCAGATCTGAAGTAGAACTTCGAGCTAGAGCTATATATATGCAAACATAGTCTAATCATTTGACAATAGCAAAAACTATCAACGATTGAAAGTCAAAATTCTTCCGTAGGGTCAAATTTATTGGATTTTTTGAAATTTATGGTGACCGGTCGATAGAGCCGATTAATTGTAACTTATGTAAATTGAGTTATTGGATGAAATTTTATTAAGGTTCAGAAAGAAAGTTATGAATTTAATGAGATTAGTTCACAGTACATATGGCATATGATTTTGGATGGTTTATTGGAGTTCGCTGATAACACTGATAGAATTAAAACTGCACTCATATATATCAGGCAAAAAGGAGACGAGATTGAGAGATTGGTGGCAAATATGTAAAGCACATAATAACACGTTAGAAATTAATGTAAAAGAAAAAGGTCCAAATTACTGCCCAGAGGTTGACCAAAACCGAGATAGCCCCTAAATTAACATTTGGCAACTACTCCAATGATCAAATTTAACCTTTGATAAGATTTTTTTCTCTGTAAAATTATGTTTAAATCAAATCTTGTAAGGTGGTAGGTAGCTGACATCATAAATTTTCCATCATTATTTTCATAGGTTAGGGCATATATGATAAAATAAGACTAGAGATAAAAAAAAATTTGTATGATACACAAATGATAAAAAAATCATAATAATTTTTTAGCATAAATATGAGATTCTCTATCGCCTCACGAATTTTGAAATTAAAACTCAATTTTGTAGCGGAGAAACAAAGAAAAACAAATCTTGTTAATTAATGAGGTAAATTTGATGATTGATTAAAATAGTTGGAGGGAGTAACCAAACCAAACGTTAATTTAAAGAATTATCGGACAAAGGGGTGTAACTTGAACTTCTTAATGTCGGTAAATGTCAATTCACAACAACAAAAAAAATGTCGGTAAATGTCTAAGCGTTGAGAGAGCGTAGAACTCTGCAAAATCATCTAGTCTTGCATAATAAAAAGGTCATTGGCTTACAAGCTCATCGAGCAGAACAGAACGAAACCCAAAAGTCTCCACACAAGAGAAAATCTGTTGCTCTAATGAGCTTCACTAAGATTTCAGAACAGAAAGCAGTAGCAGTACATCACAACACAACTCGGCTCACTTGGATGTCCTCTTCTTCTGGTACTGCTCCTTGACCCACTTGATGCTGGTGCTCGTCCCGGCCTTCACCTTGTGCGCTCCGACCAGCGCCGCCGCCTTGGCCTTGACGAACCCCTCCGACGCCGCCGCCTTCACGTTGCCGGCGACCGTCTTCTTATCCGCCTTGCCGTTGGTGCTCCTGCTCCCGCTGTCTTCACCAGAGGCCCACTGGTCCGCCCAGGTTGGCGCCTCGCCCTTGGAACCCATGGTAAAGCTGCAGTGGCAAAACGAAGACTGCTTGCGTCAGAGCAAACGAGATGCATGGAAACGCAGTGCTACTAGCAAAATTTCTGAGTGGCAACAGAACATAACAGTATTCTTTAGAATCTCTCTCTCTTTTCCGAATACATTCGGATGTTTAGTGTCTAATAGAAGATGAGCACTCCTGAGAGGCATTAGATTAGGCGGTTCTGCAATATTATGCAACCTAGGTTTCAAACCTATCAGCTAGCCTATCACTAAGCTAGAAAAGTAAAGCACAAACTAAGATTGCAATGTATATGCGGAAGCTAAAGAGTAAGGTAGAGATATACAAACTCCCATCGACGATTTCGGTATTTTTACCAAGGTATCGAGAACCACACAAACTTTCCCCTAATGCTCGTTGGAGCCCCTCGTAAGGAATTCCTCACAAGGGCCAAGCTCCTGATCGGGTAACTCCGTGGATAGCCCCGGACCTTCCCTACGCGCAAATGGGTCTCTAGTATGCCTTCCGACAAACCTCTCTCGGACCGCTCCCCATCGTCTTCACTATCAAGCTTCTGGCCGAACCGCCGCGGGCCTTGTTCCTTTCGGTACACGGTGGCGGGCACACCATAAATGCGGTTGGTATGATCTCGCAAGACTACAAGCTCCTTCGATGTACAATAATGGTGCGCGCAAGCATCAAGTGGTAAGAGGTATGCAAACCTCACTAAACACTAGACATAAACCTAGAGCAAGCGCATAAGCGGTGATTTAACTAACATAAGCACTTCGCAAAAGCACCTACGCTAATCACCGAATGTATCACTAAGCACTATGCAAGTGAAGATCACTAAATGGTGTATCAACACCCTTGGTATGTTTTCTCAGCTCTTCTCATCTCAAATGGCCGGTTGGGGGGTCTATTTATAGCCTTACACGTGAGAACTAGCCGTTGGACCCGAGACCCAACTTTCTGCTAGTGACCGGACACCGATCACATCCCGATCGGACGCGTCCGGTCCTGCCGACCGTTGGAGCGCGCGCGTTGATCGGACTCTAGGCCGAGTCTGTCTCACTCGATCAGACACGTCCGGTCGCGCTGGCGTCGCTCTGGAACCTTTCTGGACATGATCGGACGCTACTTCTTGGTGCGTCTGGTCGTCCTGCCATCGTGTCTGGTCACGCTGAGAGCGTTGCAGATGACGATGAACAGTAAAGTCCATAAGTCCGGTCACTGTCTCGCTCAGCGTCCGGTCGCTGCTGTTGCCGAGCAACTGATCGGACGCGTCCGGTCCTCATAGGGCCACGTCCGGTCACCTCTGTCGAGCTCGTTTCTTCGCGATCTTACGTTCGGCTTGGTTCCCATCTTCGCGCTTGGACTTTGCTTGATATCTTGGGTCTTCTCTTGTGCTTTTAGGGTCTTGCTTATGGTGTTGATCGTGAAATCATCATGTCGCCTTCGTCCAAGTCACGTCTTGCACCCTATTGAACTACAAAACAATTACTTGTAAATTCATTAGTCCAATTTAGTTGTGTTGGTCCTCAAACACCAAAATTCAAAGTAAATGGGCTTAGGGCCTATTTTTCTTACACATGTGTGTTCATCTAAATGTTGCATGTATTTCATCTAGATGTTGCATGTGTTGCAATGACTATACACGTATATTGCAAGTGTATATTTCAAATGTTTTATTTATTTTAGACGTACGTTGCAAGTGTGTTTTTATCTGGACGTTGCATATGTTTCAGTGACTACACATATGTTGCGAGCGTCTATTCAAAGTTTTTTATCTGTTCCAGACGTATGTTGCAAGTGTTTTATCTAGATATTGCATATGTTGCAGTTGCTATATACATATGTTGCAAGCGTATGTTGTAAATGTTTTACATATTTTTAGACTATGTTGGAGAGGTGCTTCATGTTCCAACATTAGCAGACGCATGCGGAGGCAGTCCACGCGGATGCAGCGGTCCCCACGTGCGCGGCAAGCGATGCGAGCGTGGATGGTCCCCACATGCATGCGCATCAGCAGGCATGGAGTGCGCAGCTACATGTGTACATGCACCAGCATGTGAAGCAGCATGTGAAGCGTGCGTGCAGGCGTAGCAGTTGCATGCGGGTACGAGTCATACGCGCATGAGTTGTATGCGGCATGCGAGGACGGGCGTGCAGACATAGCACTTGCATATGGGACAGTAGTTGCATGAAGGACAAGCGTACCACGTGGGGGACGCAGCAGGCGTGGCAGATACGGGTATGCGAACGTTCGGATGCTAGCCACGCTGATTCCTTTCTATACTAAGTATAAAGAAAGGAAATATGTTTTCTCAGGCCGGTGGCTCACTTCACATTTGGGCCTGTTCGTTTCTCTTATACTTTATTTTTTTTAGCTTATTTTTTAATCGGAATAGTATTTTTTTCTCTCACAATAAATTAGTCGGAATAATATTTTAACTTTTTTTTTCAACCAAACTTGGAACGGAAGAACCTCGGCAATTTTCTGCCGCCTGCTTGGGATACCGTTTATCCCAGAGCAGAAAGGAGCCCCACCGCCCACCGGGCCTCTACTGTACTGGAAGCAGCAGATCCAACAGCAGTGGCAGCAGGCCGACAGCTCACGAGTCCAGAGGATCCAATGGTCAATGGATCTGTTCTATTCATACCAGATTACCAGGAAAACCATAAAAAGAGGAATTGAATTATTCTATCCTTGTGGAAGGTAATCAACAAAGCAAAGGCATCTTTGCTAGTATCTCCTGTTGGTGAAGCAAAGCCAAATTTCTACTCCCCTATACCATTACCAAATTTACCATATTATTATATAAGACAAGCCTGCTGCCTGCACCACACAAGCAGGCAGGAAGGCTCTCGCTCTCACCCGTGTCTGCTTATCCCTGGAGCAGATCTGAGTAAGGCCAGCCAAGCAAATTGCTGTCTATCTACTGAAAGGAAAAAAAAGGTAACTTGAAATTGTCAGTCTCGGCATTGCATAATCGCATTCCCTCGCTCCTTTCTTTCGATTCCATAAGCTGTTTGTATACGACGATAGTAGGAAGAACATCTCTCTCGAAAGCAAATGTTTTTACCATGAACTGTTCCATCGATCTATCAGCAAACAGGAGGAGCCTTCTGTTGTATTGATATGGAAATTCTGAAATTCAAAACAATGTGTATTCGGAAAAAAAAGAGAGATATTCTAAAGAATACTGTTATGTTCTGTTGCCACTCAGAAATTTTGCTAGTAGCACTGCGTTTCCATAAATCTCGTTTGCTCTGACGCAAGCAGTCTTCGTTCTCGCTTTGTTGCAACTGCAGCTTTACCATGGGTTCCAAGGGCGAGGCGCCAACCTGGGCGGACCAGTGGGCCTCTGGTGAAGACAGCGGGAGCAGGAGCACCAACGGCAAGGCGGATAAGAAGACGGTCGCCGGCAACGTGAAGGCGGCGGCGTCGGAGGGGTTCGTCAAGGCCAAGGCGGCGGCGCTAGTCGGAGCGCACAAGGTGAAGGCCGGGACGAGCACCGGCATCAAGTGGGTCAAGGAGCAGTACCAGAAGAAGAGGACATCCAAGTGAGCCGAGTTGTGTTGTGATGTACTGCTACTGCTTTCTGTTCTGAAATCTTAGTGAAGCTCATTAGAGCAACAGATTTTCTCTTGTGTGGAGACTTTTGGGTTTCGTACTTAGCATAGAAAGGAATCAGCGTGGCAAGCGTCCAAACGTTCGGATACCCCACGTGGTACGCCTGCCCTTCATGCACTCTGCACGTCTGTCCTCGCATGCCGCATGCAACTCATACGCGTACGACTCGTACCCGCATGCAACTGTTGTGTCTGCACGCACGCTTCACATGCTGGTGCATGTACGCATGTAGTTGCGCACTCCATGCCTGCTGATGCGCATGCAGGTGGGGACCATCCACGCCCGCATCACTTGCCACGCACGTGGGGACCACTGCATCCACGAGGACTGCCTCCGCATGCGTCTGCTTGCTATACCTGCTAATGTTGGAACATGAAGCACCTCTCCAACACAGTCTAAAAACATGTAAAACATTTACAACATACGCTTGCAACATATGTATATAGCAACTGCAACATATGCAACATCTAGATAAAACACTTGCAACATACGTCTTGAACATATGAAAACTTTGAATAGACGCTTGCAACATATGTGTAGTCACTAAAACATATTCAACGTCTAGATAAAACACTTGCAACGTACGTTTAAAACAAATAAAACATTTGAAACATACATTTATAACATACGTGTATAGCCATTGCAACACATGCAACATCTAGATGAAATACATGCAACATTCAGATGAACACACATGTGTAAGGAAAATGAACCCTAGGCCCATTTACTTTGGATTTTGGTGTTTCATGACCAGCACAACTAAATTGGACTAATGAATTTGCAATGAATTGTTTTGTAGTTCAATAAAGGTGCAAGACATGACTTGACGAAGGCGACATGATGATCCCACGATCAACACCATAAGCAAGACCCTAGAAGCACAAGAGAAGACCCAAGATATCAAGTAAAGTCCAAGCTCGAAGATGGAAACCAAGCCGGACGCAAGATCGCGAAGAAACGAGCTCGGCAGAAGTGACCAAACGCGGCCCTATGAGGACGTATACCTTGTCTCCTATGGGATATGCATTGGGTAGCTTTGCTAGTGCTCAATTAAACCATGATCTTGTAACTTGACTAATGGTATATGCAATAAACGTTAAAACATGACTTTTTAGCAACTTGGAAACAGGGAGCTGGAGTGTTTAGCTACTTTCTAAATGCTTTAGATTCCTCTCCCTAAGGACTTAACTGTAAGTGATCATCCGGGACTTACAGTGCAGCTGTTAGGGCTACATGGCTCTGGCTTTAGCTCAGTATGAGGACCTTTTCTAGCTTGTTAGTGGTTATCTTTATTAGGCTTGACAATCGGGTATAGGACAACCTCTACTCTTATATGTATAGTCGTGATGGAATTGTGCCATTCGACAGGGGTTCCTATATCTG